TCCTTCTACAGGTGTGCAGTGGAGAGCATCCTGTGCTCCAGCATCAACGTGTGGTATGGAGGCTGCACAGCTGTGGAAAGAAAAGCTTCGCAGAGAGTGGTGAAGGCTGCACAGAAATCTGTTGGAGTCAGTCTCCCCACCATCACAGACATCTACACCTCCAGATGCACGAAGAGGGCCACCTGCATCATGAAGGACCCCACTCACCCAGCACACACACTTTTTGCCTTGCTCCTCTCAGGAAGGAGGTTGAGGAGCATTAAGTGTAGAACCACTAGACTTAGGAACAGCTTCTACCCTGAAGTTGTTAGACTCATGAATCTCTAAACAGCATAATCAATCACATCATGTTGCTGCTGATCTGCTTCATGTTGCTGCTGATCTGCTTCATGTTGCTGCTGATCTGCTTCATGTTGCTGTGTTCATGCCTGCTCATCTGCTCACACAGACTCATGTTCGTGCTGCTGTTCGGTGTATTGTTTTTATACCATTAGTGCTTAGCATATTTTTAGCTGATGTTTTTCTTAGTTCTTATCTTAGATTTTATTACCGTATTTTCTTCTACATTTTATTGTTGGATGTAACTGGAACCCTGTGTATATAATCTCGTTCCACCACATGAGGTGCGAATGACAAATAAATCTCTGACTACATAGTCTCTCGGTGTGAGTGAGAGAGTGAATGGTTGTTTGTCTATGTGTCCCTGTGATGGACTGGAGACCTGTCCAGGGTGTCCCCCGCGACCCGAAAAGGAAGAAGCGGGTAAAAATGATAAATGGGATTTTAGAGAGTCTAATCAAATCAAGATTGCACCACAGTTTAACTGACCGGAGATTAAAAGACACCAAAATATTCCAAGTATTTAACAGATACTGTAGTAACTTGTGCTGTGGTAGTAGCTGAGTCATTCATGTCACACTCATGATAAAAATGTGTCTTAGTTTTGAGAGTTGTTCTGGTCAAACTCGAACTCTTATAATAAAACATCCATCAGACGGATAAATACCTTTCTGACTGTTTTTCTTCGCCATGTTGTCCCCAGAAGAATCCAGGCAAGACGTTTCTGTAATCTGGAATATAATCCTTTAAATTTAACAGAGTCTTCAAATAAGGGCTCCGATGTGAGGGAACTGGAAGTTCTTGTTAAAAAGCCGACGAGGCTCACAACCAACAGGCGAACAGAAAGACGGAGGCTCAGATCCAGTTTTTCCTTCGTCACTCGATCGACAGGAATCAAACCTGCGGAGGAGAAAACCAGAAATGATCTTCACAAATACAACAAGGTAAAAAACTCACCAGGAGGAAAGTGAAGTTGTGACGTGCACATCAACACTAGACAATCAGCAAATCTTTAGATCTGGAGGGTAGAAGCAGAAAACGTTTCCTCTGGCAGAGAAACTAAATGAACAGTCTGTCCAGCGTTCTTCAATAAAATCTGCTTTTAATAAAGTCCTGGGCAGAAACGCTGCGTCGACTTTAAAGGGCGACGGTGTTTTGTCGTGCTCTTCAGTTCGCAGCAGCACGGATAATGAGACGGACCAGAACGTTCATCTCACCTTCAGAACCACGGCTCTTGGACCGGGTCGGCTTCATACGTTAGAAAAGTTTGACAAAACTTTAAATGACGACTTTTAACGTTTAGGGTTTTTTTTTTCCTGCAGATGGTGCAGATTGCTGTTCGATGATGTCAGCACTGCGTGTGGAGGATAAAAAAAAAAAAAAGATTCTGACCCTTGGACAGTTTTAGGACTCTTTTTCCGTACGGTAAACGAAACAGAAACCCTGACAGTCAGAATAATAAAAAGGAAAAAAGACGCACGACTAAAGAAAAAGACAAAAAGAAGTTGAATCCTGCAAACTCTTCATCACCGTCACGCTGGCCTTAAGAAAACTAAATAAAATAAATTAATAAAATGAAATTCATTCAACCTTTTGTTTAAATAAACAACATTAACACAATAAATGGCATGCTCCAGGCAGACTTCCAGAGCAGCTGTAAGTTTCCTTTTCCATTCCTACTTTTCTGGAAAGAGAAACTTAAGGGCTGTGCACTGCAAACCAACACCCTCTTGATTGATTAGGACCTGGCATGTCACAGTCCCGGTTCCACCACACCTTCACAGACGTCACACCACCATCCACACAAACAACTAAATGACGTTGCAGAAGCAACTTGGCGAACACTAGGATGCTTCATGTTTATCAAGAGGGATGGTGCTCGAACCCTCGAGAGCCAGCAGCTGCAGTCGAGCTGGATCAACGAGGCGTTTGCTTGAACTAAACTAAACTAAGTCAAGGGGCGCACGCCGCCCACTGCCTTTAGTGCCGACACTCGGGTCTTATGCTGATAAGTGAGGCTGCTGACGTGGTCAAACCTTAAATAATGTCAACACATCAACAATAAATGCTAGCATCACTCAGCCCTCTGCGAGTAGCAAGTGGCCACCAGAGCACTGATGATCCATCGTTAGAACGATGGTCCTGCTTCATCATGTGAACAGCTAGTTCTGGACGTCAGCAAACTGGTTGATCCACTACGAGAAGGTGCCAAGACTGAGTTCGTTGCAGCTCCTCAGACTGAAGAAGTCCTCTGGATAAAAGATGAAAACGTTTCAACAAGAAGAATCCGTCCAGAGGACCTGGCTTCATTAGAATTTAAAAAGGTGTTAAATGAAATGTATTACATTTGCTTTAATAACTCGTGCAGTATTGCAAGATGATGCATTCAGGGTACGCGTTGTGAATGAGTCTCGGCTACAAAAAAAAAAAAAAAAAAAAACATATTCTAGCTGAAAAGCTGTAAAATTGACAGAGTTGTATCGTTTTACTGTTGGCTAGCATCAATAAGCTGTGGCAGCCTTTTTAAAGTACATTGGCTCCAAAAGTTAGTTAGTTATATAGACGTACATGAATAACTTCAATCCTGAAAGTTTCATCGAAACCTGCCCAGTGTTTTAAGAGATATTTTGCTAACAGCGTGCAGTCTTTTGGCGCTCAAAATGGAAGTTGTGGATCACTCTCAGCTACCTCTGCAGCAGACTGCGGCTCCGTCTCTGTAAACCCAGCGGAGTCGAGTTTGTTTTAAGGTCAGAGAGCGACACTCGGGCGTGCTTCGTAACAGGAGAAGACGATAAAGTTACAATCAGAAACCAAACAGCTGATTCAGCACATGAGCAGCTGAAGACAGATTTCATCAGAGATCAGGAACTTTGCTGACAGGGTCTTGACATTTATCATTTTAACTTGCGAACCCAATCGTGTGTTACTTGTACAATAAAAACACCTTTCTGTGTCAGATTACAGCCTCTAGGCTGGATTAAAACTTTGTTCACCAGAACTAACTTTTATCAACGACACTGATTTATCTAATCTGGTTACTTCATGGACACACCGGACTGTAGGAAAAACCAGCACCGAGTCCTGCTGCAGCCTGGACTCCCACCACCATCAGTCCGGTCCGGTCCACTCGAACCTGAGGCCGTGTTGGGGCAGATGGAGAATGTTTGAGGGTTGATTTAATCTGCTGGAGGACGTTTGAGGGTTGATTTAATCTGCTGGAGGATGTTTGAGGGTTGATTTAATCTGCCTTGAGTTTATAATTGACTGCGAGCCGAGGCCGACGTGGCGTCCAGATTCCAGAGCAGCAGAGATGGAGACAGAAAGCCTCATCTTTAACAAAAACTATCTAAGCTGTTAGCAGCTACACAACCCGACAGCTGAGCTCTTCTTTCTGTAAGACTCACAAATGTTGCGGGATTTGTACAGAAATGAGACAAACAGTCTTCATGCGGGAGCAGCTCATCATTCAGGTCACCGTTAGCATCATGCTAACACCTCAAACATTACGTGATTCAGTCCAGCCATGTTCCCCTCCACACACCGCGATTATTACACATTTAGCTTCGAGAAACGGACAAAAACAAACAGCAGCAGCACATCTGAGCACGCAGGACGAACGCTTTCTTTCGAGGTGGACCTTTCAGCTTTAGCCATGATTAGCCCGCAGCTAGCTGCCTCAACTCTGGCGTTACAAAAAAAAAAAAGCCAAACTTCAGTTTAATATCCTCGGATTTAATCTCAGATGAAGCCCGCTGAGCTCCTGGCTGATCTTTGTTAAATACCTTCTTGAAGATGGCAGCAACGTGGACGGTGGGTTCTGGAAGCAGCTCGTCGTCTTTATGTCGAGCTTCGCTGCTGCGGCCAATATTTTCCTCCAGCAGGCTCCTTCACGGGTTGCCAGGTAGGAACCAAATACGCCCTTTTAATACGTCCCGACTCTGACGGACAGTGTGGGCTTTCAATTTAGTGATATTCAGATTCAAAACAAGCAATTCCAATTCAGTTTCTGATGGCATAAGTTTCAACCGATAGGACAGTCCCACAGCAAAACGTATTCAAACAGAGACAGTATATCAGCTCGTGAGACAAGCCTGTAAATCACAGGCATCCAAAGTGCGGCCTGAGGGCCATTTGTGGCCCTTGGAGTGATTTTGTGCGGCCCACGACTGCAATTTAAGAAGTGGTTCATTTTGGCCAGCAGGCTTGAGACCCAAGCTTTTGTTTGGTGTATAATTTTCTCCTTCTCCAAGGAACATGGGAGTAGTAGGACCTAATAAGTTAAATACCTAGACTCTGTCATGGTACAGGAAGTGGTTTTAGAAAAAAAATGATGTCCTCATGTGATAGGTTTGTTGTTGCATTTTATATTTTTCTTTGCAAACTGGGGTCAGAAGGTTCTACTTACTCTTAAAATAAAATTTCAGCTTTCTGTGATAAGCAGTTCTCTAAAAAAATCAATGTCCTCATATGAGGACGCACCAGGGCCGAGGTCGATACAGACTTTATGCAGATTTGCTGGTAATCCTTTTTTATATAACATTTAGGTTTAACAGCAAAACAAATGAAAATCTTTCTTCTCAAAATGAGCAATATTAAGCAAAAAACAAACCGAGGTTCTTTATTGTCATTCACATCACATGTGGTACATGAGGTGGAACAAAATTGTGGACACAGGGTCCCAGTTGCATCCTTTGGATAATGATTCATAAAACTTGGCTAAATATTGCAGTTGATAAAACAATCAAGAGGGAAATTGGACATTTTTAGATGAATATAATGTGGTGTCATCTACATACGAGTTGATCAACTTGATCAAATCTTCTATGAATCTGCTGTAGCGACCGACAGCTGGATGATTTTTCAGAACTTTGATCAGCCTTTTGGGCCGTTCATGGTCCAAAAGGCTGATCGTTTAAAAGGACACTTACTCAAATTACACTTTTGTTGCAGAGAACAGACTAAAATGAAGTTTCCAAACACAAGAAAACAACAACATAGACCCAACAAATAAAAAAAATCTAATCATTTTTAATAAAACTTATAAGCTTAGTCTTTGTGAGGTTTTAATGTTTTGGATCTACAACGATTTAAAACTCTTTCTCCACCAAAATGAGTCAACTTTGGTCCTTTCTCCAAAATATTGTTCACGTTGAGACTTAAATTCACATTTTTCTGGCCTCATGCCCTCATTACTGCAGACCCTCGATCCATGTCCTCCTCCATCTGGAGTCAAAAACCCAACTCAGGTCTGGAGCCTTCTGGTTTGAAATGAATAACCAATGCAACAATAATACAAGTTTAACTTGTTTTTAATTTTACTGAATCACTAAACTGAAGTTTTAAAATATTTCCTGTGATGAATACCAGATGTTTCCATCTATCCATCCATCCATTATCTTTACCCATTTATTCCATTTTGGGTCACGGGGGTCGCTGGTGCCCATGTCCAGCAATCACTGTGCGAGGGGCGGGGTACACCCTGGACGGGTCGCAAGTCCATCACAGGGACACATAGAGACAAACGAGACAAACAACCATTCACTCTCTCACTCACACCTAGGGACAATTTAAAATTACCAATCAGCCTAACATGCATGTTTTTAGTCTGTGGGAGGAAACCGGAGCACCCGGAGAAAACCCACGCATGCACGGGGAGAACATGCAAACTCCACCCAGAAAGGCCCCTGGACCGGGGTTTGAACCAGGGACCTGCTCGCTGAGAGGCAGCAGCTCTACCAGTTGCGCCACCGTGCTGCCCATGTTTCCATCTATATTATTTTAATTTGTTAAGCTTATCAAGACTGAGTCAGTTCGACTTCTCAAAATGAACAGGCCTAAAACGAACCCCTGGAGAGGTGGACAGAGCCTGCAGACTTTGTAAAGGTCGGGTCGCGTGGCGGCCTCTTCCTGTCCTGGTCTGAATACATCCATGACGGCTGCAAGGACTCCAGAGCTGAGGGGCGGCTTTGATCTGCTGCAACCTAAAAACAAAAGATGTCCACGTTACACCGGCGTTAAGTTCAGTTATTACCACTCACCACCTAAATATAAGGACCATAATGTTGGAGTACAGTATTCTGAAACTTGCAGACAATAATTCTTGCATGTCCTGCACATTATTCTATGTTCTAACAGATTAAACACCAGTTTAAAATTTAATCATTTAATATTTGAAGGCAACTTTGACTGTCTGTTGAAAAAACTTTACTTCATAACACACACTCTGAGTGTGATGGATGGATGGATGGATGGATAGATAGATAGATAGACAACAGAACACAAAAAAGGTTAAATCCTGTCATCTGGACAAGAAGATGACATGAATTAACCTTTTCTGTGTTTATCTACCTGTATGATTTAGTTTCCAAACATTTTTAATTAAAAAAAGGTGTAACACGTCAAGCGCAAGATAAAGCGTCTAATTGAAACCTGGCAACCCATAATCCACGTCGCCGCTGGGGTTCGCTCGGTTTGTCAACCTGCACCGCCCGCTGCAGCCTTTTGCTATTTGTCCGTAGCAGCGGTCAACTTTCACCTGAATTACAAAACAATAACTTCAGACCAGAAGTTTAAAATGCTGTAGCTGCGCTGCTGCGTGGATCGAAGCGAGGCCGTTTGGGGTGAACACACTTAACGACCGACTGAGCGGAGCGATAGGACCAAAATGGCAACCCCCTATGTTACAGATGAATCTGGTAAGGCTGCTCATGCGGCTCACATTTGTTTACCAGAACCTTCTCTATAAACCTTAACGTCTCCATCAGCTCAGAGGATGTTGTCCATCTTTAACACCTGGCACTGATTTGAAACAGATGTGTTGTGGTGTTGCAGCTAGCCGACACGCTCCGTCCTCCACCGTCGTTAGCTTGCTGCTGTGGCGCTCCTCGAGTTATTAATAAATAAAAATAATGTTCGATCTAAAACTTACTGCTGCCAGGACCTCACCCCCATCCTCACTTATGTGGCTTTGCAGCATCTGGAGTTTTAATAAACTATTCATACAAATATTTACCAGTTTCTCCGTTAGCCTGCTAACTTAGCTTAGCCACTGAGCTAATGCGCTAAAGACGTTCTGCTGCTGCTACAATTATTTATTTATTTATTTATTTATTTTATAATGGAGCTCAAATAAACAATATCTTACCTGTTGTGATGAAATGTTTTGTATGTATTTTATTCAAACAATCCGAACATAATGAGTAAAAACTGAAGTTGCAACTTTAGCAGTATTCACATCATACTTGTGCTTGTTTTTATCGTTTAGGTTCAATACTTTCACATTAAAACATCAAAAACTGTATCAATACATTATTTTATGCTGCAGCTTCTTGCAGCTTGACAAGGCTGGATAATGCAGCTCAGCAGAGGTTCTCAAGCTGGGGTCCCAGGACCCCCCAGGGGTCTGCAACTTGTAGCTTGTGGGTCCACAAAATAAAATACAACAAAGTATTAATCATATAATTCAAAAAGTACATAAATACATTTGGGGGGCAGTCTGTCCATAAAACAAAGAAACTTAACCATGCAATAACAACAAAGAAAGATATTCTGATGGCATTTAGGGCTTCAAATGTCAGTAAATTATTTTTCATAAGCATGTTTCTGGGACATTTTGCTCCCCGATAGGGGCCCCTGACCCAAAGGGTTTGAGAACCCCCAGTCTAAAGTAAAGCACAGAACCACGGTGTAATAATAGACAAAGACCTGAATTTTAAAAAGTCACACTCGTGCATTAAAACTAGTATTTTGGAGTAATGTTACAACCTTTTTTTTAAATTCATCACAGCTGATCCAAACTCTGCAGCCCACATTCTCTCAGGCATTAAAACACACAAAACCGGTTTTTACATTTCTGCACTGACAGAATTAATTCTAACTTCTCATTTGTTGTGCAAGAAGCAATAAACAGCCTCACACCCCGTTATATATATATATTAGTGGTTTTAAACCAGCAGACTGCAGGAACTGAGCCGCTCCTGTTGTCTAAATGTTCTCGAAAGTTCAAACTAAAGTTTCAAAATGTTGTGTTTGTGTGAACATGTGTAGTCTGTCTATGAATGTTTATACAATTTCATTCTTTTATGTTTTGAGTTCTCAAAGTAAAGCACATTGTGCTGCTTTTTGATTTAAAATGTGCGTTTTAAATAAAGTCTGACGCTCACTAAACGTCAGGGGAATCTTTCTTTAGGCAAGCTGAATGTTCTTTAAATGTACTTGATGTTCTCGTCGTGGCGTGGCGTGAATATTTGCGTGTCAGGTTCATGAGGACAAAAGTTTTCATATAAAATATTACAGTATCTTATAATATAAAGAGTGGTATAAATGAAGCTTTAACTACGTGTTAAACCTACAGTACATCGTTTGGGCCTGATAATTCGTTGGTCGACATATTGAGGCACGTTCGTGCACATTTCCTGGTGCATTAAGTGCACGTCAAGTATAACACACCTGGGCTCAGGAAAGCACTGGCAAAAATGTCCTGATCATTTCCATACAGTTTTCTAGTTGTTGGTTAAAGTTTTGTAAGCTCAGTCATCCTGGTAGACGGCAACAAAAATGCTTAAATCATGTCGATGACACGATTGAAGCATTTTTGTTGTTGGTTGTTTTTGTGTTGATTGGAGCGTGTCGGCACAGCCCGGCTGCTCAAAGTTGCTTTGAAGGGATTGTTATTTGAGTTATTTTGGTTTTCTCTAAACGTATCAAGTGAAAGAGCTCAAGCTGTTGGTTGATGACACTTGCATGCTGGTACGTACTGGTGCTTTTATTCTGTGCCTGTGGTTTGAGAAGAGCTGCAGCGACATCGTGTGTGTCGTGCAGCTCGCAGCATGTTTTCTGCTGCTCCTTTTAAACTTTCAGTCCCAGCTTGGCAATACGTGACATTTTTTTATTAAATCTGTGCGATCCTGTAACACAGAGGAAGTGAAGAAAGCTCGTATATTATTTTGACACAGTGAAATTACTACTAAATCCTGAGTGTCAGAGTAAATATTTAGTTGACGCAGTAATTTATTAGTGTGAAGTACGTCACACTTTCCATGTTAATATGTTTCTGACTGGTGGTAATTTTAGCTGGCATTTGGTGATAAACTTTTGTGCTGTATTTTCCACCGTACACGCCGCTCCGCCCTATAAGTTGCATCAGTCCATATTCGTCTAATAAAGTGGAAAAATACATAAGTATGTCGCTTCTCCGTATACGTCGCATCTGTTATGCGTCACTGCTGAAAACCCGGAAATGTGGGCCGGTGTTGTGCCAAAAATCGATGGGCTGCCAAATGGTGGCCACAGGAGCGTGCACAGAAGGACTTTAACAACAAGATTAACACAATTATTTGTTTGATCGAAATTATAGTAAAGTTGTGTCTCAGTTTAACTTTTACTTAAGAAATACACTTTAAAGCCCCCAGTATACTCCTGCATACGTCCGTACGCCGAGGTATGTGCGTACCTCCGCGCGGATGGACGTACGCGGGAGTATACTGGCGGCTTAATGGTTAAATTAGCTGCATTTCACTGGGGCGGTGCAGCTGGTTTGACTGTTGGTCCAAGCAGCGAGCAGAACCAAGGTGGGGAGACTATGGCAGGCCGATTGTACCATTAATAGCTGGTGAAGATTCTCTGTCATCCAGGACATGGTAAATTTAAAATGTTCAAGGAAAAAATCTATAAAGTCTAAAGTATAATAAATAAAGTCCATTTGTTTTTGTCTTGAACTTTTTTTAACGTCATTATAGCCACCTTTACCTATTACATGATACAACAGCATGCCTTACTGCAGCTACTACTCTGCCATTAAGTGGCTGAAAGTGGTACTGGTCAATTTTTTTTTTTCATTCAGAATGAATGAAAACGGTCATATTTCAGTCAAAACATGGTTTATAAATATGGGAACAAAATCTATAAATATGTTGCTTCGGCCTATAAGTCACAGGGCGTGTAAATTATGCAAAAAAAACTATGACTTATAGGGCGGAAAATACGGTAGTTTCAGAGATTCATGCCCACTTCTCCGCTGCAGAGTGGAGCTCATGACAAGCTGCAGGAGGGAGCTTCTCCCTGCAGATGTGGGCTGCATGTGCAGCAGGCGCTAAATAATTTAAAACAATTTATTTTAAATAAAATATCCATGCCGATCATGCGGCTCATCCATCAATCAGCCAATTGTGTGTCATGTCCAATCTTACTTTGAAAAACCGTGAAAGAGCGAGTCCACGAAAGTCAAACTGCGAAGTAGCGAGGGACTGGTGTTTGTGGTAAATTATTAGAGCCCGACCGAAATAGACATTTTGGCTATCGCCGATACTGATATTGGGAGGGTAAGGCTAACGTTGATAACCAATATACAGTAGTATACACAGTAGTATACACGGTAATATACACAGTAGTATACAGTAGTACAGTATCATTCAAGATCTTCAGTAAAATCAAGAAAGCAAGCCTTGTCTGAGGACTTCATTCACTGTCTAGCTTCACAGTCACGTGATGAGGACAGCGTGCCCACACTAACTTTAACTTGCTAACTTGAGAGGCACGTAGCTAATGACAAGCAGGTTGGAGGATTGAAGAGAATTTATTATTGTGGATGTTTCTTAATTTACAGAACAGTTAAAATGAACTTACCATGTTCTGTTCAGTAAAATACGCCACACAGTAGTTCTCCCTGCTTCATCTGTGCTGAACCTTAAAGTGAAACTTAAGTGAACGTCCATGACTTGAAAGTCTTCATGCGCCCTCTGCTGGATACATTGTACAATTACAGCTGGTTCCAGCATTTTAGGGGTGAAAATTAGAAGTGTTTATATCGGCTGATAATGGGACCATTAACGCCGATACCGATGGGTTCCCAAACATCTATATCGACCTAAATTATCGGCCCTATCGATATGTCGGTCGGGCTCTACAATTGATAAGACTTACAGTTGCTAAGAGCAGCTTGATAGACTTAAGTTCAGTGTATGTTACAATCTGAGTGCAAATTCAAGTTTCCTGTAAAAAACACCACTGTTGTCTCTTAATGCAGGAACATAATACAAATGTTCTCTTCATAGCTTCTGTAGCGGTCCAGATGAAAGTGTGTGCTCACTGCTTGGTTTACAGGTAAATACATCGCTGCGACTCAGCGACCTGACGGGACCTGGAGGAAGCCGAGGCGTGTGAAGGACGGTTACGTGCCCCAGGAGGAGGTCCCTGTGTACGTGCACCTTTCTTCACACCTTTACACTCACAGAGTTGATTGACTGGTTCATGTCGGACATCTTGACGTTGTGTTTCTGATGTTGTAGGTACGAAAACAAATATGTGAAGTTTTTCAAAAGCAAACCAGACCTGCCCCCTGGCCTGAACCCATCAGACGCTGCCCCCCCACAGCAGCAGAAGGTCCCTGGGAATGACAGCGAGACGGCGGCGGGCCTCTCAAAGTCGGCCAAACGCAACATGAAGCGTAAAGAGAAGCGAAAGCAGCAGCAGCAGGAGGACCAGGACGGCGATGCAGAGGTGGAGACGGTGAGCAGCGCTGTGGACAACATGTCCATCTCAGACAGAGACAAGACCGAGGGCCCGTCCTCCATCTCGTCTCCTGAGGACACCTCAGCAGCGGCGGCTGAGAAGGCCAAGAAGATCAAGAACGTGAAAAAGAAGCTGCGGCAGGTGGAGGAGCTGCAGCAGAAAGTGGACTCGGGGGAAATAAAGCAGCCGACGAAGGATCAGCTGGAAAAGTTGTTCCGAGCCGAAGCTTTACGAGACGAGCTGGAGCAGCTGGAGAGGGACTGAGGAGTCGGACTGAACATGCAATTCATGGACAGGAAAAGACATTTGCAGCGAGGAGATCATGGTTTCCATAAATATTCCACCACACTGACACTCAGTACGAACAATGGAAGCAAGCAGCCCTAATTAAGGACAGGATGTTTGTGTGGGAGCCGTTACATCCACTGCAGATAAACTTTACTTTTTAAGACGTCTTCGTGTGTCTGCAGACACATCAGCCAAGCCCGTGGTTATAAATATCCTTTTCACTGGTCATTGTGACTCGTTCTGAGTACGTTCTTAACGTTAATAATGTCAACAGGTAGAAAAACAAAGTGTTTTCAGTTGGACTCGTTCTAGTTTCTCCATTTTGACCTTTCTGTTTTTGAAACAAACAGTTTGTCTGTGATGGGACGGCCTTTGGTCGTTACACTAATGTCAAGTCTCCATTCATTAAAACTGAAGATGATTTAAGGGTTTTTCTCTTCCTTATAAGTTTTGAACTGTGAAGATGACTTTTCCTGAGTGTAACAGCAGCTTTGGTTTCTGGAGTAGTTTTCAGTTTGAGTTGATTTTGTTAGACCTCCCTTCATATCCCAGCTCTGTCTAAGCATTTAAGAGGTTTGTTCCTTCCTTCTTCAGGTTAATCTAGGGTTAATTCTGCTACAGCGGGCCTCATTTCCTTGGTACTTTACAAAACCTTTGCATTAGGAGTGTTTTAAATCCACTGGCTGCATGTGCAAATTGTCATATGACTCCTCTGTGGTTATGTAATGATTTATTTTTGAAAGTTGATTTGAGAATTAGGAAAAACTTTGGAAAGTGCAACAAAAGTAACAACACAGTTCAGTTAAAATGGGCTAACATAAAACAAACCTGTGATTCTGAAATTTGTAAAGTTTTATTTTGAACATCTCTGTAAATAAATTTAGAGAATCCTGGAGCTGCCATGCTGTACTTTTGGAACCAGAGTCTGAGCACTGCGTTGTGAGGCTTTAAGCCCCGCCTTCTCCCCGCCACACAGTCATTGGGCTACATAACCCTTCCTTTAAGGGTTATGTAGCCCAGGTACCTCGCACCTGCATTCACTGACATTTAACACAATACGATCTGATTTGTTATCCCATTGTTTCTCATTGTGTTTGTGTTTTTTATGTTTTTATTTTTTGATGCTTTTAATTATATCATGTTAATTTTTACTTGAGGCTGTGATTTTATTGTTAAGCACTTTGGTAACAGTTACTGTTTTAAGTGTGCTCTATAAATAAATTTGACTTGACTTAAACATGAAATAACTAGTTACAGTTAAGCGTTAGAAAATGAACATTAGATCAAAGAGATTAGACAAACAGAGATTTGTGCAAACTTGTCGCTTTTCGGCGAAATTCACCAATTTCAATCAAAAATATGCCATTTACGTGAATCTAGATCCGAATAGTTTTTTCCGGGGGTGGGGGGTTTGGGGGGTGGTCAGAGGCATGGTAGATGGCTGAATTTCCTATTGAATGGACTTACACAGTGCTAAGCTAGTGCCACTTGAGTCCTAGTTCGCTCACAACAAAGCTCACGCTTGTAAGTGCTAAGCTAGCACACTTGTGTAGTAGTGCTAGCTTAGCACTACATAAAGCCAAGGTTTCTTTGTCATTCACATCGCATGTGGTACATGTGGTGGAACGAAATTGTGTACGCAGGGTCCCAGTTACATCCAACAAAAGTGTAAATTGTAAAGGGAAAAACAATAAGATCTAAGATATAGAATAAAATAGAATAGAAACAGCCTTTATTGTCTCACGGATGGGAAATTCAAGTGTAACAGCAGCAACAGATAAAAAGATTTCACAAAAAGTTCCTAAATGTTAATAAACAATACAATATATAAATAAACAATATCAATAATAATGTTCAATATGTATTGGAACATTGATAAGGACAGACTATTTACAGGCAGAGAGTGTTTTAGCAGAGGTCAGCATGTCTTTAATCCTTATTGAGTTTGTTGGGAGCAGTGATGGTTGTAGAGTCTAACAGCTGCTGGGAGGAAGGACCTGCGGTAACGCTCCTTTGTGCATTTAGGAGCAGTAATGTGTCACTGAACGAGCTCTCCAGTTCAGCAACAGCTTCATGCATGGGGTGGGAGACGTTGTCCAGCAATGATGTTATTTTAGCTGGAGTCCTTCTGTCTCCCACCACCTGCACTGGGTCGAGGGGGCGTCCAAGCACCGAGCTGGCCTTCTTGATGAGCTTATCTAGCTGCTTCTTCTCAGCTGACGATGAGCTGCTGCTCCAACACACAACACCATAGAAGATGGCTGATGCCACTACCGAGTCAAAGAAGGTCTTCAGGAGCACCCCCCGCACTCCAAAAGACCTCAGTCTCCTCAGCAGGTAGAGTCTGCTCTGACCCTTCCTGTAAAGTGCATCAGTGTTGTGAGACCAGTCCAGTTTATTGTTCAGGTGAACACCCAGGTACTTATAAGAGTCCACGATCTTGATGTCCACTCCCTGGATGTTCACCGGGATCAGTGAGGTGGGTCTGTAACTGGAAATCCACCACCAGCTCCTTAGTTTTAGCAGCGTTGATCAGGAGGTGGTTCTGCTGGCACCAGTCCACAGTCTGCTGGCACCAGTCCACAAAGTCTTGAGTCCGCTGTCTGTACTCTGAGTCGTCCTCGCCTGTGATGAGGCCGACTATGGCAGAGTCATCAGAGAACTTTTGCAGATGACAGTGTGGGGAGTTGAACTAAGAAATGAACTAAGAAATACGCTAAACTAAGAATATGCTAAACACTTAATATTGCAAAAACAATACGCCGAACAACAGCAGCACGAACACGAGTGTGTGAGCAGATGAGTACGAATGAACACAGCTGTATGAAATAAATAAAAACCGAGGGCTCAAACCAAGACCTCTCCTGTTCACTCTGCTCACATATGACTGCGCACCTACCCATCCAGGCTGGCAAATTGTAAAGTTTGCAGATGATACAGCGGTGGGTGGATGCATCACAAACAATGAGTCCAGCTACAGGCAGGAGGTGGAACACCTGAAGATCTGGTGCAAGGAGAATAACCTTCACATCAATGTGACGAAAGAGATGGTTGTGGACTTCAGAATGAACAAACACCCCCCGCCCGAACATAGGATATGCGGTGGAAGTGAAAGTGGTCTCCAGCTACAAGGACTTGAATGTGCACCTGAATGACAACCTCAGCTGGAGCAACAACACCACCAGCCTGATCAAGGAAGCTCATCAGAGACTCTACTTCCTCAGACGGCTGAGACGAGCTGGTCTGTGAAGCTCAGTCCTCACCTCCTTCTACAGGTGTGCAGTGGAGAGCATCCTGTGCTCCAGCATCAACGTGTGGCATGGAGGCTGCACAGCTGCAGAAAGAAAAGCTTTGCAGAGAGTGGTGAAGGCTGCACAGAAATCTGTCGGAATCAGCCTCCCCACCATCACAGACATCTACACCTCCAGATGCAGGAAGAGGGCCACCTGCATCATGAAGGACCCCACTCACCCAGCACACACACTTTTTACCCCGCTCCTCTCAGGAAGGAGGTTGAGGAGCATTAAGTGTAGAACCACTAGACTGAGGAACAGCTTCTACCCTGAAGCTGTTGGACTCATGAATCTTTAACCAGAATAATCACTGTGAAAAATCACATCATGTTGCTGCTGATCTGTTTCATGTTGCTGCTGATCTGTTTCATGTTGCTGCTGATCTGTTTCATGTTGATGTGTTCATTCGTACTCATCTGTTCACACAGACTCATGTTCGTGCTGCTGTTCGATGTATTGTTTTTATGCTATTAGTGTTTAGAGTATATTTAGTTGATGTTTTTCTTAGTTCATATCTTAGACCTTATTACTGTTTTTATTTTACATTTTATTGTTGGATGTAACTGTGACCCTGTGAACATAATTTCGTTCCACCACATGTACTACATTTGGTGCGAACGACAAATAAAGAAATTCTGACTCTAAATCAGCAGCATGAGATCAGCAGCACATATCAACATCAAGTGGCATTACAGTGATTTTTTTTCTCACAGTGATGATCCTGATTAGAGATTCATGAGTAACAACTTCAGGGTAGAAGCTGTTCCTCAGTCTAGTGGTTCTACACTTAACCTCCTTCCTGAGGGGAGCGGGACAAAAATTGAGTGTGCTGGGTGAGTGTGGTCCTTCATGATGCAGGTGGCCCTCAAAGAACCAAGCAAGAATAATTATGTATTTTTCATGAGTTTTTTTCAGAGTTTCACAGAAAGTTAGGTAAACTGAGAAACGTCATGCATTCAGGACCACTCGTCAGATAATAGAGATTGTTTTAGGGTCCAGGTGGAGAAGAGCTCAGGGGTGTGTGACCGGCTGGAGTTCATGAAGGTGTCTGTAGTCTGAGGAGAAAGAAGAGTTCTCATCCTGAGATAGTTGGAAAATTAATTCATGTTTGATGATGTCAAAAACGTAGATCCACATGGTCCATGTTCTTACAGTGGATTGACTTTAAAGGGAAATAAACCAAAATGAATTTGCTTAGTTGCTGCATTCACTGGCATAATTTTGCACATTTGTAGGTTCAGTTTGTATCCCGATATTTTGCCAAACTACTCAAGCTGGTTCAGGGTGTTTGGTAGACTGTGTATAGGATGGGACAGATAAGCATATTGTCTAAAGGCACCTTATTATCTGAGCCATACCTCCGTATTCACCTTACATTAATTTCACCACATAGCACTAAAGCCAGTGGCTCAATCACAACAGCAAATAATCAGAATATCTAGTGGAGTGGGCCCATAAAGAATGGTTAATAGGTGTCTAATTTAAAAAAAGGAATGATCTTTAATAAAGTCTGTCTGGTCACCAGCTATGACTGAGGCCAGAACCACCTCTTAAGTGGCAGGCCAGCATTTTGGAAAGGATTTTTTCATTAATTCATTCAATCTTTATTTATACAGGCTAGTCTCATTGAGCCACAAGGACTCATTTATAAGAGGAACCTGTTCCAGACAGAACATATAAAGTACAGACAACAATAACAATAAACTACAGTAAAAATGCAGTTAAAATAAAAGCGTTATAAAACAATAAATAGGGTGCTGTAAAAAAGGTAAATTACTAAAAACGAACATATTTGCTTTGATGTTTCTACTGACATCAAATGTTTAAAATCCCCTAAAGAAATTAAAGTGGACAGCTTCAGATCTTGTTGTGTTCCAGGTTACAGGAACAGAGTAGGAAAAGGCCTTTTGCCAAGTTCAGTCCACATTGAAGGAACACTGCAGGTAATGATGGCCTGAGAGCGCATGTTGTAACTGCACCAACGACGTGACAAGTGGGAGGAGATATAAGAAGGTAGCAGACCAAGGAGTGATTTTTAGATGAAAATAAACCAGTGTGAGGGTCTACATGTAGATAATGATGACCAACTGACCAATGAATACAGTGCAGTGATGGATACGCAGTTACAATCAGTTATGAATCTTAGTGTGCCATGGTAGACAGCATCCAACATCTGCAAGCAGCTGGCAGGGGCATTCATGTAAATAATGTCACCATAGTCAATGGCCGGTAGGAAAGTGGCAGCTACAAGGTGTTTTCTGGCATTCAGAATTAAGCAAGATCTATTTCTGAAAAATAAACCCAGTTTTAATTTCAGTTTCTTTATCAAGTTTTACATATGTGGTTTAAAAGAGAGATGTGCATCGACCAAAATTCTCAAGTATTTGTAAGAATCTACAAAGTCAATAGGAACACCATGCATGGATGTGATAGGAGGAAGAGTTGCTGGCATCAACATTCTATTTAAAAGCAACATCCATTTGGTTTTGACAAAATTTAGCACCAGCTTGAGATGGAAAAAGTCTGACTGAATGATGTCAAATGCAGATTGTAGAAGCTGGAAAACCTTGGCCACAGTGTTAGCTCGGCAATAAACAACAGTGTCGTCAGCATAGAGATGCAAGTTTGCGTCAGGAATCTTTTGACCTACATTATTTATATACATTAAATTGTAAAAAGAGTGGGAACTAAAAGTGAGCCTTGTGGCACACCGTTAGTGACTGTTAGGTAGCTAGATAAAGTATTATGTTGAACGCATTGCCTCCGACCTGAGAGATAGTTTAGTTGGAGTAGGTGATTTACCATTAGAAACTGTATCAAACAAGGAAATGGAGGCAACAAAATGTTTGTTGAAGCAATTTAGCATCTCATGCTTATCTGACAGTTGACAAATAATTGTGGTGGCAGATCAGACGAGTGTGTAGTCATCAAGACATTTAATAGTTTTCCAGAAGCTCTTAGGATTGTTATTTATTTATTTAATAAATGTCCATTTATTTATTTGAAACATCATTGTCCAGAATATATTTAGTTAACCAAGTCTCAGAAATAACAATAATATCAGCACCAGTTGAACAAACCCATGTCCTCAGCATATCTATTTTAGGAAGGAGGTTACGAGCATTAGTGTGCACAATTTGTAATCCTGACATGTTTTTAAAGTCTGTTGGAGTACTGCATGCTGTTAGAGGGGTAGAACCTGTTTACCTCGAGCTTGACATCCTCCCGGCTCGTTTGACTCAGGAGACCCGGAACAACGGTCCGACTGCAGGCGTCATCGATGCAGAGAGAGATGGAGTTGGTCTGGTAGGAGACACACTCCAGAACGGACATCTCACCCCTGCTGCTGTCATGCAGATCAGAAACTGGTGATGGAACCAGCACGCACAGCAGACACACCATCCACAGCAACGCTGAACTGCTGGAGGATCTGGACGCCACCATAGTTGCAACAAACAGTGACAACATAAAACAAAACAAGCTTCCAGGGTATCTGCTCTTTGTGACTGGCAAGTTCTGGTTTGGTTCGATTTGGAGTTAAGGACCCGTTAGCCACATACAGGACAGGTTTTATTCCTGCTGATGAATCTCACTTCGATAATATTCTTCCACAACAAGACCAAGTTTCCTCTGAACCAAACTTAGTGGGAAAAATCCAGACATGGTGCAAAAAGAAGCAGCCAGAACTGGTCCTCCAGGGGAACCAGCACAGAACTGCCCAGTGATCCCATTCTTTTGTTCTTCGATAAGAACAAAAACCAGTCTGATAAATATTAAATATGTTCTGAAACTGAAAATAACTGTTGCTCTGAGCGTAAAGGGCTTTTTCTAGTATTTATTAAGAAATTGTACATTTGAAATGGGCCTATAATTAGAGATTACAACCGAATCTTTAAAAACAGTTTGATGACAGCTATTTAAAGTGTAGCACAGAAATCCCTGATAGAAAAGAACAAATTATGATTTTCAGTGCCTCAAATAATAAAACAATTTAAAATATAAAGTGGGAGTAGGATCCAACCCGCAGGTGGATCTTAGCTAAGTGTAAAATCAAACACTTCATAAAATGATTCTTGGTTCCTGGAGGTTCTGAATGTAACACTGAGCCTTGCATTGGTTGTAATATATGTTTTCTTGATGTGTGAGTTGTGGTCTGCATGCTCAGTGCATAAGAATAAAAAAAACAGAGTTGCAGGCAGTTTAGTGTGGTTTATGTTGTAAAATGTGTGTTCAACAAGAATAGAAATGTTGCAGAAATGTAGACATTCCCCATTTTCTAAAAAGTGCACTGAAATTGGCGAAAACACTGAAGTCTCTCATTTATTTACCACCATGGCTTGGTGGTATCGTAAGATAATTTTATACACTTTTATTCATCTCAACTAGTTCAGCAGAAACTAGTCTGCAAAACACCTCTAAAAGTAAAATGATTGTCCAGGTTTTTTTTTACTTAGTTGAACATCACCATCAGTCAAGTTTAATTGAGTGTAGTTTATTTGTTTCGTCCAAATTAACCCCTCCACCCACTTAAGTACATTACATTTTCTCACCCTGAGCAGGGTAACAGTGGGACGGTGGGGTGGAACGACTCCATTTTAACAGGAAGAAAGGTCCAACAGAACAAGAACCAGGATGAGCAGCCATGTGCCAAATAACTCAACCCGTTCATTGTCATGTGCACGTCAAGAAAAGTTTCCAATACAGTGAAATTCTTTCTTTGCTGCCAGAACTACTGCCGAACAAAACAAAATCAATGCATAAACAAAAAGTCCTTCTTTACATAAACTGGTCCATATTCAATCCAGCTCTGCTTTTACCCAGTTGTTCCTTGTATCTGTGGTCACGAGCTAACAGGTCCAGCAGACACCCCAGTCTCTACTGACACACTCCAGCTCTGTCCTGGGGGGCTGTGAGACGTTTCCAGGCCAGAGAGGATTTATAATCCCTCCAGTAAGTCCCCGATCGACCTCAAGTGATCAACAGCTCCACTCCGAGCTCCTCCTGGATGATGGAGCTCCTCACACCACCACCATCAGAGCAGGATCGTTTTAGCCATTTGCATGCTCGACCTATGACCCCCAGTTGAGGGACGGGACATAGATGGACCAGTAAATGGAAAGCTTGGCCTTTTGTCTCAGCTTCTTTGAATATCATGAAAAAGTTCAATGTTTTTGTCATTATATAGATTAACTACACAAAGAGTGAAATATTCAAAGCCTTTATTTATTGTAATTTTGACGATTATGCAAAACCAAAATTCAGCGTCTCAGAAAGTTAGAATATTATGATAAAGTTCCATATTGGAAACAGATGCGCACTATGCACAGATGAGCCACAAATGTCTCATTCCTCATGTGAAGCCACTCCTGAACCAGAGACGACATCAGAAGCGTCTTACCTGCAGGGTGCCTTCACTCAAGAACATCCCAAATGATCTCCTTCTCTCAAGTATCTCAGGGTTTTGTTCATGAATGAGGGAAGAATGGAGTGTGAGATTGATAGATGGAGTGGTGCAGCGTTTGCAGTATTGTGGACTCTGTGCCGGTCCGTTGTGGTGAAGAGGGAGCTGAGCTGTAAAGCAAAATTCTGTTTACAGGTTGTTCCTACCCTCACCTATGGTCATGAACTCTGGATAGTGACAGAAAGAATGAGATTGTGGATACAGGTGGTTGAAATGAGTTTCCTCTGCAGGGTAACTGGACTTTAACTTAGAGATAGAATGAGACCCGGAGTGGAACTGCTGCTCCTCCACATCAAGAGGAGCCGTTGAGGTGGTTCGGGCATCTGGTAAGGATGCTTCCTGGGCACCTCCCTAGGGAAGTGTTTCAGACATGTCCAACTGGGAGGAGACCCCGAGGAAGACCCAGGACACGCTAGAGAGACTATGTCTCTCTGTTGGCCTGGTAACGCCTTGGAGTCCTCCCAGAAGAGCTGGAAGAGGTGCTGTGGAAAGAGATGTCTGGACCTCCCTGCTCAAGCAGCTGCCCCTGAGACCCGACTTCAGAACAAGCAGACGATGATGGTTGGATGGATGGATGATTTCCTGTGACGAGACTGAAACAAGACAAAGTTGTGTCGTATCTTCAGACAGAGAGGTTTTGTCTCCGAGACGTTTATTCTCAGAGGCGTCTCTGGGCTCTTACATTAAGAACGCTATAATTAGCCTCTGTCGTCCCATAGGGGACGTGTGGTTACTTGTTTTCTTCAGAGTGGTAACTATAAAATAAAGAATGCTCAAGATTCTGCTGAATAAACTTCTAAGTTTTCACATATAAATCAGAACTGGGCACCAGCAGAAAGGGTTTCAGCGACACGCATGAGAATAAACAATTAACAAAAATGTGATTCAAAGTGGTTCATTAGTCACCGTTTCCTCTGACTGGTGGCCAGAAGATTTCTTTGTCTGTGTGTTTTAAATCCCAGTTGATTTGTTTTTTTTATTCTGCACATTTGTTGGAAGTAATTTTTAACATTCTAAGACTAAAAGCTTCAAATGAATGGAGGACAAAGTCATGATTGTGCAGCTAGCATCTGAAATATGTGTTGTTTTTTTTAAGGCAGTCCACAAATCACATTCCTTGTCAAAGTTTTATTGTGTGGTTTTGAGGCATGTCCGGAAACAAATAGTTGGTATAAAAACTGAATGCCCTGCAGTAAAACGCCAGCTTCTGTGTCGGGCTGAGGATGGCTGAAGCTATGACTTGAACAGTTTCATTAAAACAAAACATCGTCCTAGTTCCTCCGATCTGAATCCGATACTTGGTCAGTGATGGAAACAGACTCCCAGCAGAAAATGGACAGCAGGTTGGAGGTGATGGTGCTTTTTGTTTTGCTGACAGCGGCCTCATCTTTTGCTCAGAGCAACGACGACATCAGAGAAGCCACGGTAAGAACAAACCAGGAAGTGGAGCTGCTCCAATACAACCTGGACCATGATGAGTTTACAGAGAGAAGAATGTTATTTTTCATTCATTCAACCTTTATTTAGACAGATTAATCCCACTGAGCCTCGAGAACTCATTTACAAGAGAGACCTGATTTCAACAAAGAATGATGAAAAATCAATGGACACCAGCGACAACAATAAACAGTTATAAAAAGTCGTACAAATTTTATCCATCCATCCATTATCTTTACCCGCTTATTCCATTTTGGGTCACGGGGGTCGCTGGTGCCCATGTCCAGCAATCACTGTGCGAGGGGCGGAGTACACCCTGGACGGGTCGCAAGTCCATCACAGGGACACATAGAGACAAACAACCATTCACTCTCTCACTCACACCTAGGGACAATTTAGAGTTACCAAGCAGCCTAACATGCATGTTTTTGGTCTGTGGGAGGAAACCGGAGTACCCGGAGAAAACCCACGCATGCACCGAGAGAACATGCAAACTCTACCCAGAAAGGCCCCTGGACCGGGGTTTGAACCAGGGACCTGCTTGCTGAGAGGCAGCAGCTCTACCAGTTGCGCCACCGTGCTGCCCTTACAAATTTTATTTATTTATTTATTTTTTAACAAATAGGATGGCTAAGAAAAGAAAAGTAACAAAAAACAGCTAGATTCTAAGTCGAATGTAGAAAACTAAAAACAGGAACATGTCGGCATTCGTCCCTGCCAGGAGTCCAACAGATTCTTAAAGACACTAAGAGAGGTCAAGAGCTTCAAATCTTTTTTTTTTTGCACGCTATTATCACGCTTTATTCACTGAAAATACAGAAAACAAAGTTTAGATGTTAAATAAAATACTGTAATGTGCTATTATGTTGCATTTTTCTTGTATCATGGAAATATTTGTTACATTTAATTAAATATACTGAATTGTCATGTTTTTATCATGTCACCAAAAGCAGCATAAAACACCATACTGTGTTTTACAGTCATTCTGGTTTATTTCTGCCAGATTCTGGTGACCACAGCTGCCCAGAATAGTCTATAAATTTGAAGCCATAAACAAAACACCATAATATGTTTTACAACTACATTTTTCATCATAATGATCATTTTTAATGGAAAGATTATTAGATTTTATTGTTTCAGGTTGACTTACACTAACTTTAACTGTAGACTGTAATTGTCAATAAATTTTTTTAACAAGTTCATTTTATTTCCATCCATCCATCCATCCATCCATCCATCCATCCATCCATTATCTTCTGCTTGTTGGTCTCAGGGGCAGCAGCTTGAGCAGGGAGGTCCAGACATCTCTTTCCACAGCCACCTCTTCCAGCTCTTTTGACTTTACCAGGCCCACCGAGAGACATAGTCTCTCCAGCATGTCCTGGGTCTTCCCCAGGGTCTCCTCCCAGTCATACATGCCTGAAGCACCTCCCTAGGAAGGCGCTCAGGGAGCATCTTTACCAGATGCCCGAACCACCTCAACTGGCTCCTCTTGATGTGGAGGAGCAGTGGTTCTACTCCGAGTCTCTCCCAGATGACTGAACTTCTCATCCTATCTCTAAGGGAGAGTCCAGGTACCCTGTGGAGGAAACTCATTTCAACCGCCTGTGTCTGCGATATCATTCTTTCAGTCACTACCCAAAATTCATGGCCATAAGTGAGTGTAGGAATGTAGACCGACCAGTAAACAAGAGAACTTCACCTTACAGCTCAGCTCCCTGTTCACCACAATGAACCGGTACAGAGTCCACAATACTGCAGATGCTGCACCAATCTATCTGTCAATCTCATGCTCCATTCTTCCCTCACTCATGAACAAAACCCTGAGATACTTGAACTCCTCCACTTGAGGCAGAACCTCCCCCTCAATCCAAAGAGAGCAGGCCACCCTTTTCCGACTGAGGTCCATGGCCTCAGATTTGGAGGTGCTGATTCTCATCCCAGCTATTTCACACTTGGTTTTGAACCGCTCCAGTGAGAGCTGGAGATCATGGTACAATGACGCCAACAGGACCACATCATCCGTCAATAGCAGAGAAGGAATCCTGAGGGGACCAAGCCGGTCTCCCACTGACTGCACCAAGAAATTCTGTCTGTAAAAGTTATGAACAGAATCGGTGACAATGGTCAGCCCAGGCAGTGTCCAACTCCCTCCCTGAAGGGGTCAGATTTACTGCCGTCAATGCGAACCAAACTCTCGGACCGCTTGTATAAGGACTGAACAGCCCATTTCAATGGGCCCCCAATCCCATACTCACGGAGTATGTATGTTGTGTGTTTGTATTTGTTTTTAAGTAAAGCAAATTATTTTGTTCCTGCTTGTTTCATTAGAGGAGGCCTTCAACAGATCAGAACTGTTTATTAAAGATTTTGCCTCGGATTGTTAATTAGAAAATAGAGTAAGATCTCTGTGACCTCCTGACATCCACAAGGCACTCAGGATTAACGTTGGAGGATGCTATTTCCTCTCGCTCCTTCCCCTGTTTCTGCTCTTTATCCTGTGAACCTATTGGAGTCTCTCTTCGCATATCTTCCAAATTGTAAATTATGGATCTGGTCAGCTGGTCTCTCAATGCAATTGATCAAATTTTCTTGACAAGAAGACAGGGTGAAGGAGAGCCCTCCTGGCCTGACGGGACACTCGCAGCCAAATACACGATGGATTCCTGTGGGCAGTGGAAGATTGTGTGTCTGTCCATATTGTTGGTCAAGGATGTTGAAAATGCGTTCATAATTGGATTTATAACAACAGGATTTCTGCTTTTTAGAGTTGGTGGTTACCTGGCATATCGACAAATTTGAAAAACGTCGGCAGCTGTTGTGATGGAATGTGCTGTGCTGTGAACACTCAGACTCAAATGCTGTGTGAGCTGATCCGTAAGCTGGACGCGATTCTTGCTGTGAATCGCAGGTTACTTGTGGCTCCTGAATCTCTCTGGTGGGAAGGAATTGATCTTTGAGAAATTACAACTTAGCTTGGTGGAATTGACCACAAATTTGGCTGTTTGGAGTCACCATTGAGATGTACCAGTGAGACTGTAAAGGCAGACGGAAATTAAACAGAATCGGCCTGACCCAAACCAACTGTTGTTATCTGAATCTGGCTCCCCCGTGTCGGCCTTGGAAGGCTGTCTATCTCAATTTGTCCTGGATGTTATGTGAACAAGATGATCTGTTCCCACTACCCGTTCCCTTCCCCAAGGACATCTGTGGACTTGTGTCAGAGCTCTACCGAGGCCAAACTAATAAACATTAAACCATCACTTTCATGGATTATTGCGGGGGGTGGGGGGGCTATCTGGAACAATGTTCACGGACTTACTTACAAACACACACTTGCATACACTCACTCGAACAGCTATAAACATACTCCACTCAACTCACCGCCTTCGCTGGCCTCCCTTCTTTTGCCCACCTGGTGCGGTAACCTAGGTTGGATACGAGGCGCCAGGTGGCTGAGATGCTCTCTTGCAGCCTGTGCTGGCCCCCCCCCCCCCCCCCTACACACACACACACACACTTCACCCTCACCCACTCCACATACATATGTCTAATGTCATTTGTATGTTGCATTTTTTGTGCTGAGATTTTTATGCAACTTTCACAATGTGTCCTGTTAGGGACACAGTATGAGATATGAATGATGTTTACCTCCCCTTTCCTTGTGTTCCTTTGTCCTTGTCTAATGAAAAAGGCAGCACTTCTCATGAGGCTGCAGCCTCAGGCACCCGTCTACCCATGATGTTGTTTGGTTATTTGTGTTTCTTTGGACAGGCTGTACTGAAATGAAATTTTGTTGTGCAATGACAATAAAGGCTGATTCAGATTCTAAAAAAATAAATGAAAAAGTGTCATTTTCAGACGTTATTGACATCAACATGTTGGTGCTCATCTTTGCTTTCACTTTAGGCATACCTAAAGAACTACGGCTACCTGCACGTCTCACTGGATGGACAAGGTCTCAACCATCCACTGGAGACATTCACAGACGCGCTGAGGTGGCCACTTTGAACTAATTTATTTGTTTCTTCTGATTCATTCGAGACAGACAGTTAATTTTCTGTAAATCAGTATTTTTCAGCGAGCAGCCAACATCCAGATGTCAGGGAAACTGGATTCAGCGACTCTGATGATGATGAAGAAACCTCGTTGCGGTCTGGAAGATTCTTTCAACAACCAGCCTCTCAAATATCGAGTCATGGGTGGGTAGTTTTGTTACACAACCCATAATCACTGAACAGTGCGCTGTAAATAGAACTCTGGCTGTCACTGAACAGGCTACTGGCGGAAGAAGATGCTGACGTACCGCATCTACAACTATACACCTGACCTGGGTCAGGGAAAAACTCGTCTGGCCATCCAGAGTGCCTTCAAGTACTGGAGTGATGTGTCACCTTTGAGGTTCAGAGAGCTATATCAAGGACGAGCAGACATCAAGATCTCCTTCCACAGAAGAGACAAGTCCTGCCCGGTGCCCTTCGATGGGCGAGGTGCGTGACAAACACAATCACTGCGAGCCTCGCAAGCTTGTTTTTCAAGTGTTTTAAAGAGAAAGTCAAGACTTTTAAAGTGATTTTTATCAAATAGTTATTAGCAATTTATACCTTATTATCTGTGACATCAGCCAGAGTGTCAAGCTTGAAGAAAACAGCAAAAGTTTTCATCCAGTCTAGACAGACAGACAGATAGACGGACAGACAGACAGACAGACAGACAGACAGACAGACAGACAGACAGATAGATAGATAGATAGATAGATAGATAGATAGATAGATAGATAGA